TATATTACCTTATTTGTTTTTTATGCGTGTGATCGTATTCATACTTCTGTTAGGGACTTATTGTGCGTGTAATTGCATTCGCACGCCATCTTCAAAAACTATGGTCACTCTTTCAACCTGAAAACTGTATATTTAGATGTGGTTGTTTGATGATTTATCACACAGTGTATTGCACAAGTAAAGTAATACGTTTATGTGCATGTATTTTGATTTTTATAGTTTATTTGATGTATATGCATATAAAGTAAAGTGTACACGATTATACTCTATATAAACATACATATTTGGGATGTATTTACTGTGCATACTAAGCTATACAGGTATGTTCCTCTTATGCCAATAAGTTTGTCTATACCATGCTTGCTACACGATATGATTTTTCCAGTAATATTGGCGAACGAAATACGATCGATCTGGATATTTGTTTTCCGTTTGCAAGCAAAATTATGTGCGACACTGACTTTGATAATTGAAATCCATACCACCTCAAATCATAATTCAGGGCATGGGAGGGCAAATTGAATCCTATTTTGGAATGTGGGTTAATCCCGATTTAGAAAGTGGACACAGTAAGGCCCATCCCACGTGTTCGACATATGGAAGTCCGCGGCTATCCAAAATGGAGGATTATAAGATAGATTACTGCGAGGTCTGGCGTGTGGGTCCCATACCAGAGCGAGAGGAAGTAAGGAAAGGAGCTGGTGCATTGGCGGATGTAAGTGGCCGCGTTACTTTGGGTGACTACAGTGAACTTGATATTGCTGTGGTTGATGGTGATGGTTGTGTGTTTTCATATCTCCAAATATGCTTACATATTTATATAAATACACGTTTTTATAAATCTATACACATTTAGATTTACATATATACGTGCATATATATGCAGTTTACTACAGTTGTGAGAATATAATTATATACCCGTCCACGCGAGTGTCGTTACATACATGCGCAATGAATACGACTATGTGGGTGAAGACTTTTTTAATTCACGTAGAAGCCGTGACATTTAATCGAATGTGCTATACCATATGCTTTTTCGTCATAACTTGACCACGTTCGTCAGATCATCCGCACATGCCATCGAATTCTTTCTGTTTCATAAGTCTCGGACATACAATAGAATGTCAGTTCGTGCGTTTAGCATTTGAGTGCATTTATCTCTGTCTGTATGCGAATGTATTCAATTATCTTAGAATTGTCTGGTGAAATAAATAGATATAGCGTGATATTTGAATACGCGAGTCTGAACATGCATACATGTCCAAATGATTAAGCTGAATCCACACAGTCAACAGTTCACAGCTATGTTTAGAATACTATTTGTACCTCAATTGACAAATCACACACTTGCTATGTTCATTATATATATCTATATCTATATCTATATCTATATCTATATCTATATCTATATCTATATCTATATCTATATCTATATCTATATATATATAATATATATA